ATATATAATTTTGTAATTCATTCATTACCAAGGAAATAATAGTATTTCTGCTCTTCACAAAGCTTAGAAATGCTCAGGAATGCAGGATAAATCCCATGTGCAAAGTTATTTTAAATATATGGTGCAAAAGCCCCCAACAAATTTTTTCGGGGTTTTTTGTCAAAATGGGTTGTAAAATCTATACATATGTATTTAAATATATTTAAAATGTATTTTTAAGGTTTACATGATTTTAAAAGACAAGACAGAATGTTTAATGTGAAATCTTACTTTAAATTTTAAATGCATGTATTTTAAATATTTTTTAAAAGGTAACATAAAAACAAAATTTCGAGATAGAGCATAAGGGTCTACATAAAAAGTTTCTTTTTTTTTTCTTTTTTTTTTTTTTTTAAGTTTGGCAGACTGGGATTTCCATATCCCTGATCCTTTCTTTTGGCCCTTTTATAGGTCTATAGTTAGAGAAATAAAGGTTTGTATTGTAATTGTCTTTCAGTACTTCAAACATACACATTTAAACTGGTTCATCTGGGAAGATGCGAAAGCTCTTGACCATTTGCCTGAGATACAGTGTATTTTAACTTATTTTGAGAGAAAACAAAGGTTAAGATTAAATCAGTTGAATATTTTTTTTATGCTTATTTCTGTTACTTTAAGCTCTAAATGTATTTTTCAGACTATCCATAGCCTGATCCAGAAACACCTAAACTTTGGAGAAACATAATTCCAGATCCCGGTATTGTAGCCTTATAGAAGTCATGCAGTTAACTTCCTTTTTGTGCCTCTCTACGAGCTGCTCATATTCTGTATTCAGTTTTACTGTCCACAGCCTGAGATGAGATAGCACTTTATTTTTGTTTGCCTTTTTATATCAGTGTTTTTGTGGAATTGTTAATGAGAGGAAAATAACACTTTGGGGAGTAAGCCTCCTCCATAAAAATAAATTTTAAAGGCTCTTGGCTTAATGTTGCCTTGTTTACATTACAGGATAAGGAAAGGCTGCAGAGCAGCACCCCAATTCACCTAGTGTGCATAAAAAAAGTAGCATCCTATTTCTTACCTATGAAATTATTTCACCACTGAATGTCAATTAATCTTTAAATAAATACTGGAATATCTTGGACCAGAGAAGCACAATGCAAGCTAAATTCATGGTGAATTGTTTGGTATTTTTTTCATTGATGGAGTTTAACTATAAGTTTCCATTCCCCTGAGATGCTGAAGGTCCTTTCTGTTCTTCTATCCAAAGATAAATGCTGTGAAGCACTTCTGGGGTCCTTGCTATCCTTTTCTTTCTGAGCTGTCTTTTTCACTTGTCACCAACTGGGCAAACATATCTGGCCTTGCCTTCACTTTTTTGGTCATTTCTATAAGGCAAGTGTATGAATCTCCTCATATCCTCAGCTGAAAATGCCAACAAAAAAGGACTATTAACACTCCTTTATGTTCATAGAAAAATGGCATGGGGAAGATAACCCCATTGCATTTGCATTCACAAGAAGAAAATCTAGGAAACCAGGAGCAGAATTGATAGTAATACTTTTAGGGAAACTTCCCTAAAATTTGGACTGACGAACATCTAGGTGAATCAAGTTACCCCATGGAGAAGTGGATGTGTTCCTCATTAAGGTCTGAACGAGGAGTGACGTATGCTGCTCACAGCTGTTTCTGAAAGGAATGACGTAAATGGAGATGACATACATGATACAGAAATGCTGCAACCAGCCACATAGTCAATTAAGATGTCTTTGTTTAAGTAGAAGTCACATTATTAAACCTAGATGTTCTGAAGCTAGCAAACTCAATGCAAGGCTATCATTGCTACTATTTTCAAAGATGTTTCATCACAGACATCTGCCAGCCAGCTGTGCAGACTTTCTGTCTACGCTAATTTGCAAAGTATTATTGCTGGCCTTCAGCATTCAGAGCCATCTCCTTTTGGGCTCTTGATGGTCAAAACCTTATTTCTTGGAAATATTTTCTACATCTGGTTAAGTGGGGTACTTTTGTTTGATTGCATTTGATTTATTTCCATTTTGGATGGGCTTATATTGTTGGGTTTACCTTGATTTTATAGGGAGTCTTATAAATACAAAAATGCTGACTAGTACAGCAAGAAACTGAGACATCACTGACTTTGCAGTACTGCTCCGCTGAAGGCAACATCCGGCAGGATTCTCCCTTCTCCACCAACCTCCTTTCCATTTCGAAGGTTAATCTCTTGGAGATACTTTTTAATTTGATTATCTAATTGCTTTGTCCTTTCCTGGGGCTTCACCTGGAGGATTTGGCTGGGGCACCCGGAGGAGGGATGCTGCTGGATGGGCAGGTGGTGGTGCAGGACCCGCAGGGAGCCAGCCCCCGCTTTCCCTGCTAACAGTGCCCTCTCCTGGCTCCCCTCCTGTGGACCGAGAGCCGGGGCCCCTTGCAGGAACCAGATGAAGAAAAGGAGAATTACATCCTTGGCTTCTTCTCCCGTTACTTGCTGTCTCTCCCGACCCCCCACGACCTCCCACCCTTCTGATGAACAGCACCGTGAAATCTTTGCGCTGGCCCGAGAAGCCAAGGCAGCCCTGTCTCAGGGTTCGACATTCAAACCAACCCCGTGAATCTACCAGCAGCTAGCCAGTTTGCAGGCTGCTGTGACTGGGGCCGCCTGAATCGCTGGGGTTTCACCGGGCTGAGCAACCTGAGACTCGGAGATAGTCCCTGCAACCTGGTCTCCTGGCTTTTAATATTCAGCACTGCTCCTCACTGCCGGTGCTGACTCTTTCAATCCTGCTTGCTGCCTAGACCTCTCCTAGGCTTACCCATCCATTGCAAGTTTCTGACTAATAACTCTGCCAGGCTGTTGGAACCAGGCAAATCGCCTATCCACAGCGTGCCATTTCTGAGCCGTTATGGGTTACTGCTGAATTCCCCCCCTTTTCCCCCGAGAGCCCTTACAGAGCCTGGAGTGCTCCCCTCCCTCTCGTTTTCCCCACTTCCCCGGCTCATGTCACTCGGCAGAGCAGGATCAGGTTGCTTTTGCATTGTGATTCTTGGCATGAGCCCCTCTCGGTTTTGTATAGCTGTTCTGCGAGTACAGCAGCCAGTAGGAACAAAGCACATAAGAACACATTAAACTAACATTCAGCACGCAAAGCCCAAATAATTTAGTATATGCTACCCTGCCTAGTAAAGGGAATAGTGTAGCAGGCTTACCCTTTTAATTTCCTTTCTCTCACTTTTGTCTATAGAAGTCTATACCATAACTTCCTTAAAAAGCATTTATGTTTATTCTATAGTCATTCTTAGGCTGTTTGTTTTTACTCAGTATTTCTTGTAGTAACAATCTCCAGTGCTTTGCTCGATACCATCACTAAACAGAGATGTATTGTTGTATCTGATTAGAATTTTAATTGTAGAAATATAACCTTTCCCACTGCATTGTGCTCTTACAGTGGTAAAATGATCCCTGTTGTCCTGCTGCCTGTCAGTTCTCTTTTTCAAACCTACAACAAGCAGTGTTACAGAAGTACAAAATATAGATCAAGAAATGTGTGTACTGATGACCAGTTACCCTTCAGGGATGTAAAATTCCAATTTTACATTCTTTCCATGTCATGTATTAACACAGTAGAGTTCCAATAAACATATTAATCACTTAGGAATAAGAAATGTTACAGGACTGACAGATAATATTAGAAAAAAATAATTAAAAGAAGGTTCAAATGTAGATAAACTAGTTGCTGCAGCTGCTCAAAATGACAAAGAACTGTGCATGCAGAAGCTTAAAATAAACTTTAGAATCCATCTAAGTGTGTGTACCTGCTACAAATATGCTTGTCTTATATTCATAGGGAATATACTTTATTAGAAGAAAATCACATCACTGAAAAAACAGAAGAGTTTTTTGTATATATAGTATATGAAAGAGCTATCTGCTTGAAAGCTTATCCAATCTATCTGTATCATCTGTTCTAGTAAGCAGTGCTGCTTCTCCTTGTTCTGTTAGATCCTTAGATCACTGTGAGTACAGTAATCCCTAAAATGCTTGCACAAATTACAGCCTTACTCAGGACTCTGCACAATTCACAGGCTAGCATGGACTTTATCAATTGCTGAGCAGATAAACAGGTTACTGAAGGCAGATGTTTCCTGCTCTTCATTAAGACTTTGTGGGCCCCTAATTTTGGCAATGGCATTAAGCTCGAAGCTAAAAGCTGTGTTCGCATATACTCCGATATGTTGTGTGGTGTGGTTTGTAACACTGTTGGAAAAACAATTTATAGACTGTAGACACAGTGAATAAGATAAAGTTTTGAAGTTCCATGTCTCATTCTGAGCCAGTTACACTAATCTGAACAACGAGTGATCAAACAGGAAATGCAGAGTTGGTAAACAAAAATCGTGTATGTTCCACCACAACTGTGTATAGTCATCTTATGACTGAGTTAGGAAACACTGTCTCTGGAAATTATTAATGCCACAGAAAAAAATAGAATTCTGGTTAAATCTGAGTGTATCATTTATAAATATGTAACATTCCTATTGATTTCATATAGGAAATAATTCTGAGGTAATGACCTATGAAACATCCTGTTGTTCATGAGTATAAGTCAAACTATTTAAAATAATGTATTAGCAAAATGCTGTATTGCTTTCAGAAAAACACAGTACAGAGAAAGTTTTTCTAATATTAATCGTAGAATAATTTATTCAGGAGTAGTTAAGCCAGTTAGTTTTCCCATGGACATGGCCTTAACTGGGAAGGTCACCAGCCTGGTCCTGTAGAATGAAAAAAGTGAATCAAAGAGAGGGGAGAGCATTTGGTTTCTGGTGAGGGAGTTACCAAAGGAAGATGCCAATCCTGGAAGTGCCCAGCACGTTACACTTCTGCTAGTTCCCTTTCTAAAAGTGGTGGTTTAGCTTAGAGCTAAGCCTGCTGGGCAGGTCTCGTTATGCAGTGAGCACGTTTAACAACAGAGAATGACCATGCCTCTGTGTGTTTCTTGCAGCTTCATGACGAGTTAGAGAAGGGCGAGAAGGAAAGTGCAGAGCTGCAGGAGTTTGCCAACGCCATCTTACAGCAGATAGCAGATCACTGCCCTGACATCCTGGAGCAAGTCGTCAATGCACTTGAGGAGTCGTCATGACCTTGGCCATTAGCCCCACCGGAGCAGCACACCAGTGGCCAAGCCCAGTCAGTCCAAGGAGCCATGAGAGTGGAGAGGAGTATGAAAGACAGAAAATGGAATAGAAACTTTTGGTGCACCTTTTACAAAGAAAACAAAAGCAAAAAAGCCCTCTGAACACTACATGCTCTCTAGGTTCTTTCAGTCTATGATTAATCAGTCATGTTTGCATTCATCTTCTCACTGACTTTCTGCTTTAGAATCTGATTCTCCATTGACTTTGTTGATGGTGACTTTTGGATGCAGCTTAGCAGAGCTCTTCCGAGTCTGCTGAGCAAGGAAGAGGGGATCCACTGAACACAAGCAGCTCTAGTTCTCCGTGAGGTTGCAGAAGGGTAGCCTTTGCCTTTCATTCATTTATTGCTTTTTTTTCTTTCTTTATTTTTTCCTTTTTTTTTTTTTTTTTTTTTTTTTTCATAAAAGCTGAAAGCCTGGATTTCATAGTGCTAAAACCAAACTTGGGTGTGCTCTGATAATGGCTCATGACTGGCCAGCATCAGCTAGCTAGCTCAGGTCTCACTGCCTGTCTCAGTGTTTCTTATGTTCTTAAATAACAGAGAGAGGAGAGGAAAGGAAAGTTTCCCTATCTGTTCCTGTTAGTCACTTCATCAAGAAGCTGGGAAACAAGGTAGGCATACTGGTACTTTCTGTTTACTTAACTTTGATTTTTATTGTTCACTGATCTGACTCTGAAGTGCTGAGTGGGGCATTTCTTCAGGTAACTGTTTCATCTGTTGATTTCTTGGGGTTTTTAGATGAGGTTTCTCTGTGTCTCCTAAGTTCTTTTTTTTATAGAGAGCTCTCTCCCTTCAAGCAGGTGTGGTCAACAGGTCAGGTCCCAAATTTAACTTGTACAGTTTGTTCATTGCCAGTTTTTCAGGCCATAGCTTTGTGAACACTAGCTGCCATCAGAATAGTCTTAGGCATTTTGTAAATGTTAAAAGTATAATTTTAAAGCTACCTTTGGTAAATCAGTAACATAGTTCTTACTATAATTATAATTTAATTTATTTCACTTTAGCCGAGGTTGATGAGGAATGTTCAGAGCAATAACCCATTCTTATAAAGAGGAGCATCTCTGCTGAAGTTGGCACCCAGCTGAGTAGAAAGTTATAAAATCACAGCTTTAGTTAAACCAGTGTAATTCTTATATGTATGTGAGAGACCTTAGTCTCGTTCCCATCCATCTTTGACACTCATTAAAGCCCCTGCTGATAGGTAATATGACCTGAAATAGTAGGTTGGTTTGTCATTGTGGTAGCAAGTCAGAATCTTACTTTATGAGTAGGACTTGGGTGTTCATTCTTGGACTATGCATTAATGGGGAGACATGTTTTTTCCTGCTACCGGTGGTTATGTGTGTCTGGGGGCATCTGCAGGACGGAACCCTTTAACACATCCCCATGTACTCCTTAAAGGAGTTATTCCCCTTTAGCTTTCTCATGTTACTTAAGAGAACAAGGGGAGGGCAAATGGAGACCAAATATCTACACAGCAGTGGAAGAAATCTTGGTTTTCTAGTCACTAGCTTATTGTGGATCCTCTCAGTAAACCTCTCATTCAGAGCCTGTAGTTTAATTCCATATGACTTGATACATTTTGAGCTTAATCACTAAACTGTTGCGCTAAGGAAAATGTTCCAAGCCCTTTCAGAAAAACTACGTTTCTTATGTCTTTCAAATCCACAGCACAGCTCCCCTGTAGGTTTTTTACACCTTATTTTTATCTTTAGAAATGACCGATTGCTTCCAATAGAAAGGAGATTGGCAAAAGTTTGAGTAAGGGACAACGTACTGTCTCTTCGTTTCAAACAAGCACTGAAATTTAGGGAAAACTGAAACCTTGCATACCTGTAGACTCTATTGAAAACTAACTGATTTAAAATAAATCACATCCCAATTCATTCTACTGTAATGATTCAGCAGAAGGAACTGTATCCATAACCATGGCGTCCACTAGGAAGAAATACGTAAGTCTCCAAAGAGGTGATTCACACCTTTTCCATGTTTTGAACTGCCAGTGCTTTGCAAAGCAGGAAATGTAGCTTTAGTTCTTGCTGTAGTAGCAGCCTGTGTCTGAAGCTTTTTTTGTCGTGGATGAGGAGAGCAGTGGGAACCTGAATGTGTGCAAGGGGGGAACACCGGAAGGCGTGTAGACAGTGACTGTACATACCACTGAGCCGTGCCTCATCCCAGAACCACCCCTTTGGTCCCATTATTTGAGTCAGCACGTTTCGATAGGAGCTGTTGTTTTGAAATCTTCCCTCTTGCTTTTTCTTCATCACCCCTAATTACTCACTCAAGGAATTTAATGCTGCCTGTAAAAGCATCAGAGCCATCAGCCTAACATCATCGTGCCACCGCCACCACTCCTGACTATCTCATTAACTTATATGGTCAAATCTCCAGCTGCCCTGGTTCCCTGCTGTAAAACAATCCCTCCTCTGTGAGAAGCTGTGGAATTTCCCTTATCGATGGTTCAAATGGCTCCTGCTTGTAAACCTCTTACTGAGATGTTCCTTGATAGCGTTTCTGCTGCAGGCAGGGGCAGGGGGAGGCGACGGGGACAAGGGGTGCTTCACCTCAGGCTGTCATTTCAATTCCCATGGTTTACAGCGTGGCCCACACATGGCAGGAAAGCGCTGGTTCTTCTGCAGCTTTTACTCAGCCTGTGGCTGCGTTTCCAGAGTTGAAAGTGTCCCAGCCAGAGGCACCGTGCTGTCACGACAGCGCGTGCAGAATCCATGCGTCAGCAGCCAGGTGAATCTCACTGTTTACACATCTCCCGGCCTCTTCCTTGAGAGGATTTGTCAAGCCCGGCTGGTTTTCACACTGGCCATTTGGTCTTTTATCTCCCAGCCACACACCTGCTGTTCCTCCCATCTGGATTGCTGGGCCTTTGCAATTTTTCTCGTTAACCGCTGTTATCTTCTAGGCCTTCTAGGCTTTCCCATCTTAAACATCAATCTCAGACCTCAGTAAAGTGCTTTTGGGGAGAGCAGATCTCATTTAGGAACATACTTGATCCGACTTGATCTCCATTGAACTATTCCAGGTAATCTCTCTGATCCTGCGTCAATAGAGATCTTGTCATGGGGAATAGCTTGAGGAACTATGTGATGTGGGAGGTGCTGCTGGCCACGATTTAATGCTGAATGTGACCAGTGAAATCATTTTATTTTTGCTCATTCGGAGTGCTGCACCGTTGGCCTTAGGGTAACGAAAGGATTTTGTTACCGTAATCCATCACAAAGTTGTATATCAGGCACATGACAGAAGGGCCATATGTGCACACATACTGCAGTGCTCATCCAGTTGCCTAACCCATCACTGCTCTTTTAAAATCTCATACCCAAGTGTCAGCAGCCAGGCAGATGCAGACAGTTTCCTAGCACAGCAGTCCTGCAACGCAGCAGCTCTAGGAAATCAGGGGCCCTTCCCAGGGAGCCTGGGGAAACTTGCTTTTTCTACTCCTGTTGAATGAAGTTCCATTTGCTACAGGAGCTGTGAAGGTTTTAATTGCTTTAATGTTGTTTTTTTTTTTTTTTTTTTTTTCTTTCAAGCTGTCATTTGTAGAGAAATTGAGAAATGTAAGGACTTAAGGAGCTGTCTGTAGAAAATTAAATGAGTCATTTTAGCTGAGTTTGGGCTAAAAAATAACTCAAACCTGAAGCCCATATACAGTGTAAAAGCTGACACCCCAACCATGCTTGTTCATGGTATCCACGAGTCCAAGTACGTATTTTCCTCTGAATCCAGCCTCATGCAAAACACTAAAAGGACATTACAACACTAGAATTGCAGGGTGAGGACATGAGCACTGTTTGCAGTTGGAAGAAGAATTGCCTGGCGTGCTCCCAAATGAAGCTCTAAGCTTCTAGTATTCTCTCATTTTGACTGCCTTTAACCAGCTTTCCCTCTGGAAAATGCCAAACCCTCTTTGGAGTATCTGATTTTTGCCAAGTCCGAAGGACGGAAGGTGAAGGTCTGACATGATGCACGAAACTGTGTGTGCCATTTCTGGTTGCACAGCTGGAATATCCCTTCTCTAGCAAATTTTCTGGTACTTTGGGGCTCTCGGTATTTTGCACAAGGGAGCATTAATGTCATAAATCTTGTAGACATGACCCTGTTTTGTGAACCAAAGGGGCACCTCTTTTCATTTGCCCTGTAATTCCCACTCATTCTGCTGCTAGTGCTCAATTTGTTGGGAAATTTCTACATCTGATAAAGGTTGACAGGGTTGAGTCCCCACTCCTGTACTAATTGCCAATCGCTGAAGGGGTCTTTGCAAAGTATGTAGAGAGTCACGCACTGCTACCATTTTAAAGCAAAAATTTCATGATGTAACGCCTGTATTCCTCAAATGACTGCGATGAAATGCAAAAGGGAAACAGTACAAGCAAGGCACCTGATATTTAAAGGAAGCGTCGGCTCAGCTCGATGCCTGCACTGAAAGAGGGAACCGGTGAGGACGCGGAAGGCTGCGGATAACTAACACTGCCCCAGCGAAGCCGGCAGGGTGGGAGGGTCGGGCACGGGGCGTCGCGGGGCATCGCGCCTGGTAAGGCCACTCTGCCAACCCGTCCTGTCAGTGTGGCGAGGAAAAGGAGTGTCGGGGGGGGGGGTTTTAACCTAAATAATATTTTTAATTGTTTTTTCCACATAAATGGAAGGAACCTTACGCAACCGCAGGCAGATCCTTCTGAACAAAATGGCTGTGTCCGCTGACTATTTTTAAAAAAAAAAAAAAAAAAAAAAAAAAAAAAGAAAAACTGTTTCAAAACTTTTTAGTGTCAAAAGCTTAAACACAGAAATCCTGACTTTTTCCAGTGTGTGTGGTGAGTGCTGTAAACCTGTCATCAGTATCTCTCCTGACTTTTTCAGGGGTGTTTTTTCCTGTTTTGTTTTCTGCTTGTCGATATTGTCTGTGTGGTCCTAAGGCTGGGGCAGTTACCAACAATGTGTGTCTGTTGTCGGATTAAAAAAAGATAGTAGTAGAACTGAAAAAGATGTGTTTTAAAAAATATATAAAAATAAATTTCATCAAAAGGAATTCAAGTAAAGAAACAACAAAGCCATGACTCCTCCTCTCGGGATTGTACGGAAAAGGATTTGTGGGCTTATAATTATAACCAGTTGCCTTTCACAGGCTTTTGAGGTCCAAGGCAGCTTGGCCTCTTAGGAAATGTTACAAACCCTGTATAAATTCCTGCTTTCCCAGGTTTGTACTATACACATGTAGTACAGAAATGGGCAGAATGAAACAGTATTTTGGAAATCAATCTTCTGGTAATGGTTATCAACACCAGGTGTCCCTTAAGGTAGGAACCGCTGATATAAACGGGCCAAATGCTTTGGCCAAATTTTCCCTGTCTTCTCAGTTGCACTCGTCGATACCAGGGACCCGTGCAAGCGCAGATCACCTGGCGTGTCCATTATCAGAGTTGCATTTTTTTGTGTCCAGCATCGGTCACAGAGCCGCAGCGCGTTATGGTACAGGCGGGGACTAGCAGCCGCCTTCTGCTGCGGTTCCATCAAAGACTTGCACTGCTTGAAAGGAACAATGTGAGTTTAAACTGGCACATTACTCTAAACAAAAAGACCCACGCAAATCGCTTTACCTATGAGACTAGGTAAAGAATTTCATTAAATGATTTCTTTTTTTAATATCAGACTTACTGTATGCTGTTTGTCCGCATTTTGCACTTCTAGTTTGGATCTTGAAAATCAAGTGAATCAGTTTTGGTTTTAAATAGATGTTTCCACTTTAGGTTCTCAGTGCTTTGGTGGGGCTTTTTGCTCAAAACACTGTTTTTCCATTTGGAAACTGGCAAAAATAGCTCTATCAGTCACGTGTACTCTTATTTGTTACAAAATGTGGTTATCTAAAAGCCAAATTTGACACCAGATTTTACGAGTTCCTTTAATCTACCAAATCTTCCCAGCTCTCCGTGGACATGGCCAAGTCTCTGTCCTCCCTGCCTGCCCAGGGGCAGCCGCATTTGGCCCTCACTGACACGCTCGTAACAGTATATCTGGGGAGGCTTTAGTGGCAGATGCCTTCATCTGATCAGATGCTGAAGGAGGACGAATCAAATGGGACCATGAACAGGGGAATAATTTCTGTGCTAGCCCAACATGCTGCTCCAAGCCCACTAAAACAGTATATTGCCGTTTCCCTCCAAGTCAGTAAATGAGGAGAGCCACACACCAGGTTCACAAATCATTTATGGGGTTAAAAAAATAAAATCTGTGGGATGCTCCATCCACTCCAGACACAGATCCCTCGTTTGCTTTGGAAGAGACGTGTTGCACTTTAGCGGAGGGGGAGACAGGCTTTGGGGATGGGATCTAGTGTACTTGAATTCCTTTTTGAAATAACAGCGGCGGGAGACATTGATGTCTGTGATGCAAGTGCGCACGCTGCCTTCAACTTGTATGTGTTTTATTGCTGGAGTCATGTTACTGACAGGATAATGAAATTGCAAAGAAAATGTGTTATATTCAACTTTGCCTTGATAATATAAACACTTTGTTCATTTTTTTTTTTTTCTTCTTTTTTTATTCACAGACTAAGTTCATCGGGAAATTATAAAATTATTTAAAAATTCTGTGCCGTGTCTTCATTTCGGTGTGCCTTGCTCGGTGCCCTCCCCTGCGTGCCGGGGATCGGAGGGCAGGTAGGAGGGCTGGGCGGCGGCATGGCAGTTCCCCAGGACCAGGCTGGAGGTCCCTTTTGTTGCCCACCCGCCCCACTGGAACAACCCTACTGGGGGTCTGGGCGGCACCACGTGCCTGGCAACACTCGTTGGGGTACGTGGTGCTGCCTGCAAGGCGAAGGTGAGGGGCTGTCAGCCGCAGGAGTGTCCCGGTTACCCCGGGGCCCCACCGGTCAGGTAAGTGGAGATACAACAACTGTGTTTAGTCAGCTGTTTCCTTTGTCTCCCTCGTGCCTGTTTTCCGAGGAAAGGTGACTAAACCGTTGCTAACGAGTGACCGAATCCCAGACGTGCGTCCGGCATTGAGTCAGTGTGAGGGACACGGCCTGTGGAGTAATGCACCTGGAAGGGCTCGCTGCGCAAAGGCCGGCGAGACTGTCCTGCAGAGCGTGTTCCTGGTGAGACCCAGGCACGGGTCCCGTCCCCACGGGAGGAGCGCAGAGTCACCATTCCGTGGTGCCAGACGAGCCATGGCCCCTGCAACGCTGAGGAAATGGGCTCTACCCAGCACCCAGTCTTCAGCTGCATTTTGAGGACATGGGAAATTGCCTGAGTAATGTCACTAAAATCTCATTTTTCTGCTGGTTTTAACTGTTCTGAAGAGAATAGCATTGCAACACTGGGTCCCACTGGTAGAACAATGTCCATGTTAAACACACTCCACCAGATTCTCCGCAGCTATCCTGAAGCCCTGGCAGAATAGACCTCCCCAATGGACCCTTTTTGACCACTTTCTGAGTCTCTCCATTTCTTTCTCCTTTTGTCTAGCTGTGCAGCTGATTCTTCTCTGGGCTTTCTTGCTGGCCTTGCCCCTTCTGCTTTCTGCAGATTTATCTTTTCAAGAGGCTCTTAAGATCCTGACTCGCTGTTTCCATACAAGTGACTTCACGTGTGACAGGAACAGGCGTCCTGATCTCAGCGCCTGGACGTTCCCCTCCCTCTGCTAATTGGGTTTCAATCACTTGGGCTTCAGTCAGGCACATAAAGCAATGTGTGGAAAAACAGATACATGGGGATTAAGGGTCTCGGGAGCTTTGAAAGGAAGAGTCCATCGGCCTTTTGGTTCCCAGTCTGTTTTATGTTCGCTTGAGCGTCTTTGGCTGAGAAGAGGATTCGTGATTCCCGTCAGGCCAGGGTGTGCCTGGCTTTTGCAAGCGCAGATCAGCTGAATGAAACCACATGCCACATGAATTTTAACCAAATACTGTACAACATGGTATTGGTCAGTCTGAAAGCGGTACAAATGCCAGTTTTAAATGGCTCGTCCTTACGTAAGAAGAGGGCAAGTGAAAGGCAAGAGTCGCAGGCACCGCCAGCAGGAGAGCACATCTGCAGGGAGAGCAGCACATCTGCAGGGAGAGCAGCACATCTGCAGGGAGAGCAGCACATCTGCAGGCAGAGCCGAGCCGAGCCGAGCCGAGCCGCCGCAGCCCACGCCGGCTCTGGCTGCTCGGTGCGTTGCACCGCCGTATCCCCGCAGGCTGACTCATATTTTGGATGGCCCATAACAATAACACTGTTCCCACTACAAAGCGAAGATGCCAAATCCCATTTTGTGCGTTATCAGGTTACGTTTTATGCATTGTGCAGTAAAACACAAAAGCATCTGAGTAAAATTGTCTGTGCTGACTGCTGTTACTGTGACACAGAACAGGCAAGGCAGCAGTGGAAACAGGGAATGGGCAGCCCTGGGATCAAACACAAGTTTAAAACGTTTTCCTTTGCACATGTAACAAAGATAGGTTCGTAGGGGTGTGCAGGCACCTGTGTCACCCAGGCTCCTGATTAAACATGGGCCTTCTGCAGTATTCTAGCCAGGATGACTTTGTAAAACCTGCTTTTCTAAATTACACCGGTCAGGGCAACTTTGCTGAAACCACATCAGCAATCCACTGGGAAGAGCAGCATATTTAGGAGCTCCTATTGGCAACAGGATCTGCTGCCCAGATGCCTTCTGCTTATGTGGACTGATGCTATAGTCAGGCATCAGCTGTACCAGGCAGGATTACCCAAAACAGCAATTACAAACAAATTGCCTAAGCTAATGAAGTGATCTGCATATGACTAGTGAACTTTAGACTGGGACTTTGAGATACAAGCCACTCTTCTCTCTGGGCTTCAGGATGTTTAAAAATCTTGGGCAAATGGCCAAAGTCCTCTTTTTTTACTGTCTTTAAAACCCCTCAAACTCAAGAGGGGGCATGTGCCCTGGAAAACTAAATGTATTGTAACTGTAATAAAACTGTTTGTGAGCAGTTTTTTTGCTTATCAAACAGAGCCATACATCTTATGATGTAGACTTTACTTCTGAATATACTGATGATATATTATAAAACGTAAGCAGAACAGCTGAGACCAGCTTGGGTGTAGCCATGGGGTTACAGCAAGTGATTCTCTGGGTGTGGGCTTTAAGTCCAGCTGGTTTTAAGTACATGATCAGTAGCTTTTCCCAATAGTTACAATTGCAAACATTAAAACTGTTCTAGATGAATGATTAAGAAGGTAAATATTTAGGCCCAGGTTCTGCAGCCCATTTGTGTGAAGGTGTCACTTATTTCAGCGGGAATACAGCTCCAGGAATGTCTACGGATGCAAACCTCATGACCAGGCAAGTTAAGAAACATTTGATTTCTTTACATCTTGGGAAAAAGGATGGATTGCTGCTGTAGCTCAAAACCCCTCCTAGGAGGATTTTTATTCAGCTTGAGTAAACCCTTCATTTTCTGTAAGGGCACACCATTTTGGGGAACCACAAGTCTTGGAATGTATATGAATGCTCTTAAACTCTCAATGCATAGAAACCGTTTTTAGCTTTAAACAGTATATCATCTTGTAGCCCAATGTACTGAAGTGCATGTGTGCATATATTTCTGTGTGTCTGTGCCCATCTGTGTGATAATATATAAATATATACAGCTGCATGCTGAAAACCATGTTTCAAGAATACTAAGCTTGCAATGCCAAAGGTCTGGAAATTAGACAATCTACATGACTTCATGCCCAATGGGTCCATGATGCAATTTTCAGTGATGTATTTATGTAACTATTTTTTTGCCGGACCTTTCCTTCATTAAGTGTGCAAGATGAATTGATTTCTTCAAATCAGTAATTGCATAAACCCTAGCACTGCTGCTATTCATGCTTCTTCTAAGACCACCAATTCTCTGCTGCAAGCCTCTCATTACTTTGATTCTGTAAATTGTCCCTCACGTTAGTGACTGCTTAGACATCAAGAGGGCTGCTCCTATAAAGAAGGAATTGTCTCAAAGTCCTTCCATATTTTTCAAGGGACACGAGCTCATATCTGCTCTAATGTGACTCTAAAATGAACCAAATCCTGACATTTGGGAAGACCCGGACTTCAAATTCCACAGCCCACGAGTGCCCTAAGCAGGGGATTTTTTTCTACCACAGCATGCGTGTACATCATCCACATCCAGAGCTAAATTTGTGTTCTTCTCTTCTATGTGTACACGTGTTCCTTTGTTTAGATCAGCAAGAAAAATCTTGTTATTCCAGGGATATGTACATCAAGCACCCATTTCGATGCTTGGCTCTGTTTAGCTTTGCAAATATAAAAATATAATCCAGTTCCCTTTAACCGCACACTTGCATTTCCCCAAACCCTCAGTTTGTTTCTGTGCTCCTCCCCTTCTCTTCACAGAGGTCTGACCCTTCTCTACAAAACATCTGCCAAGGGTGCTTAAGGCCTCAGAGCACCCACTATTCAGCGCTGCTTTTGGGCCGGCCCCCACTTCTGCCTTCACACCTACACCCAACAGAGGCACGTCCCCATGCGACGCATCTCTGCGCTTTCATTGCCCCCGCTTATTTCTGTGGGATTTCATGATTGAAATCTTCATCTAGCAAAGAAGGCGTCTGTATCTTCAGACACGCAGCTGGACGTTAACTATGATCAGACACCATACACAGCAAAGACTGCGTGAGGCTTGTTGGGGAGTCAAAGGCTTAGAGGGAGACATTAAAATGGAGGCAGCGATGTGCTTCCTCTCTTCTTCCTTATTGTCTACAAAACACATTGACTTTCCCAGCCAGGTCATTCTTGGCAGCAGCACAAGTCTCCCATAAAGTCTTGTACAAAATATTTGAGGCTCTATCTGACATCTAGAGTGATTGACGTATCACAGAAGGGGCACGTGTTTGCAGATGCTCGTAGGCTGCAGTTGCTAAGAACTACAAGATGCTACATCAGATATTTAATGACTTGGAGGACTTGTGCTATACATGCACATGGGATTTAAAGAATGAGTGCAAAGTGCAGAAGGAGGTAAGTTTGATTTATGCATCTCGGGTTTTTGGTCCCCGTATGACTTCAATCAGCAGTTCATGCCATTTTTCTATGAATTAATTAATTTAGCATTAATAGTTACTACGAATATTTTGGTGGTAGTAGCCATTAAAATTTGAGAAAGTGAAGGGTGCAATTATTAAGGGTATTTTGAAGGGTTGCCACTTTTGCTGATACCCTTCTTTGCTGTTAAGTAGCATATTTTGTCTTCAGGTATGTTTTCCCAATCCAAGTGGTAACTGTAAGGTTGTTTTCAGAAGGAGCGGGGGCTCAGCAGCAGCCAGGGCTGGAGCTGCTGGGGAGCTCCACAGGCCCATGGCACCCGCCAAAGCCAAGGAAGCTCAGGTGTTTGTAGGAAAGATGCTTTATGCATCGCTTACCGCAGAAAAGATCAAACATGCAAGTACAATAAAACCGTCACTTTACCTGGCCCAGGCAGCTCACAGCCTGAGTGTTATCAGCTGTTGCTTGATATTAAATGTTAAACCCTCTCAGAGACACTTTCGGCCAAAGCAGAAAGCACCATGATTTTTACAAGACACCGTAAAAACTGCCCTTATTTCTCCTCCTAGGAAACATG